TGTGTTCGCGATCCCTGGTCAAAATACCCGGTAGGGTATTTTAGGTCACGACAGGGGATTTTTTGGTTCACGACCGGGGATTTTTGGGTCACGACCTGGGATTTTGGTTCATGACCGGGGATTTTTGGTTCACGATAGGGGATTTTTGAAAACGCAACGTCTGGAGACAGGGGAAAATCCCCTATCAAGGCCAAAAATCCCCTACCGGGGATTTTAGTGTCACGATAGGGCCCCCTTCTGTTTCTCAGAGAAGCCCGAAACCAATTTTCCCCTATCTTTGATTCTTCGTTTCTCCCTCGTTCGAACTCCAAATCAGGTGCCGTTTGATCCCAGATGCTCGTATTCTCGTACTCTTTCTTCTCATGACAAGATTACATGATTATATGGTCACAAAATGAGGTAGAAATCCCTTCTTCTTCAAGTCATACCCGAGTTTCTTCCCCCGAGTCGCCAATTGATCTCCGATTGACTTGAAACTTGCGCCTACACTTCACTTTATGTGCTAGGACCTGAAATGTGACAAAGGAACACAACCTAGCGTAAAATAGGCCAAAGAAGCAATAATGCAAGCTTAAACGATCAAGAAACAAAGGGAAAACATGTGCAAATATTGAGGTCAACCGACGCACAAGTCATCTCATAGCTTCTTCGGTGAGAACGCTAGTCTCGAGTCGGCATCATGGCAAATAGTGATCAGAGGACAAATGAATCGTGGACGAAGAGACTCTCAAAAACAAAAGATCATGGACTCACATTTTTCAAGGTGCTCTTATTTTCTTTTTGAAGACGGTTGGAACCCCTTTTTTCCCCTTTCTTTTGTTCTCTTTTTTTTCTTTCTTTTTCAAGGGTTCCAACCCGATTTTCAGAAAACGGGGCTCCCACCTAGCAAAGGTTTTGCGGGAACCCAGCTCTTACCGGCCATGCCGGGAGAGAATGTCTCGAGCCTCGTGCGGGGAAAAGGAATGTAAGAGGGCTGGAGGTAGTAGGTGGAAATTGGGAACGAATTCCCGTCTCCCCTTACACACTTTCGCCCTATTCGCACGGGAGACGTTATTTTAAAGCACATTATCGAGCACCTTTTATTTCAAAACATGATACAAGAGTCCATGATAGGTAGAGAGTCCACAACACCACACAATTCAAGGGTCCTAAGATCACTAATTCACTCAATCAACCAACACAATATGAAGAAGAAACGAGACTTCTTAAATGCATCAACATCCTCCATAGTGCTACACTACCTCCCTAGGTTGATAAAGACTGTCAATTCAAAGCATACTGAGCAGGCAATTCCAAGGAACACGTACTTGGAGCTCTCAAATCGAAATTTGGACAGTGGACTAGGCTCCAAGCACACAAACAGTCAAACATTCACACGAATACATAATCGAACATCCCCCCACACTTAAGCACGACATTGTCCTCAATGGAGGAAAGATAAGGAGGGTAGAACGAAGTTACTAGATCCAGGGTGAATGATTGTGGACGGGGCAGGCGGCGTATTCCAGGAGGAGAGAATGGTCAGACCAAAAACACCACACAAAATCTCACAAAGGTTGAATTATTGACTCTAAAATCAAATAACAAAACAGACTCAACCGAGGAGAAAAAGAGAAAGAAATGCAAACCGACTGGTTGGGTTGCCTCCCAACAAGCGCTTCTTTCACGTCGTGAGCCGGACGATGGCTCCTAAGTTTCGGTCCACCCCAAAACCTCTTTGAAGTTGAGGTTCTCGTCGATGAGGTGGAATCTCAAGTCACGAGCATGTGGTATGACAGTAGATGGAAGCTCGTGCACTTGATGCAGATGAAGTCTCCACCCTCGAGACCTCTTATTCTCTTCTCTCGTCTCATTTCCCCAAACCAGATATGACAGCACCGATTGACCACCATCGCGTCCACCAAGAGGGACCGATGTCGACGTGACCTTGGTATGGCAAAGAGACACTGCAAATGGATCCTTGCTAAGTAGTTCCTCGAAGTTTGGTGGAGATATCAAATGTAACTCATGGCTGGTGCAAGCCTCTTCCACCTCAACTTCGTCCTCAGCCTGGACGCCAATTGCTTCTTCAACCTCCCTTCCTTGTTCGTGTGGTATCACCCCTGGGAAATGATCAAGAACTCCTCCTGCTTCACTTTCGTCATCCTCCACAACTTCTTTCTGCACCCTTTCTTGCTCTTCTTCTTCTAGCACGGATTGGAGAGCAAGTTTCCAAGCAATTTCTTTCATGAGATCTTCTTGCATCTCCTCACTCATGCCCGCCTCTTCAAAGCTCAGTTTGGGGTGTGGGAAGGCGTGGTCGGCTACGACAGGACATTCCTGATCATGACCATCACGGGAGCTCTCCGTGACAACTTCTGTGTGTTCCACAATGTCCTTGTAGCCTTCTTCTTCCTCCTCCCCTTCTAGTATGGTAGCAGAAGGGTGATCTGGAGCAGGTTGTGCCCAAGATCGCTCAAGATCATCGATGCTCTTCTTAAGGCTCAGGAGGATCTCCTCTGTTTCACGATAGGCCTGGACACAATGATCCATCCTGGAGCATGTTCTATCACAGTCTCGAGCAAACTGCTCCATGAGAAGTCTCAATTCATAGTGTGGATCTGGCTGTGGAGTGTAGCATGGCTCTGCAGAATGGCCCGTGAAGGCCGCCATGGGTAACTCCAGCTCCAATGGCCCCTCTGGTTGTGGGAAAAATTCTTCTTGGTAATGAGGTTGTTCTTGATATGCCCAGGGGTCCGGTTGTTCTCCGTAGTAAGGGGGTTGGTACTGGAACCCGAATCCATAGTCTTCTCCTCCTTGATTGCTCCAGGGAGTCTCGGGGTAATACCACTCGGGTGGTGGTGGATACCCCCAATTGTTGGAGAAGCCATGAGGATCCATGATTTAGATCTGCACCAACAAAAACAAAAACACCCAAGTGAAAAGCAAGGGTGGAAAAGAAAAGAAAAGAAAAACGCTAAAGTAACAAACTTCTGCCTTTCCTAATACTCTAGAAAGTCCCCGGCAACGGCGCCAAAAACTTGACTCGCTACTACACAACACCTAACAATGGCCAAGTGTAACCAATGGAAGGGATGCAGTATAGTGGCTCAAGTGATAAATATCGAATCCACGGGTCTCTAGAGTTATTATTACTCAGCTTCAGTTTATTATTTAGCAAACCAGATTAAGATGAAAGAACTAAAACTAATCTAGCAAACTACAGTTAAAGTTAATCTAATTACAGGTTGGGAACTCACTTAGGTATGATTCCCCCTAGCCACTAGCCAGACTAACGATTGATGATTTCTAACTTGTTTCACTTTCATTCACAATGCGGAGAATCCTTGACTAGACCTTGAGTCTTGACTAAAGGAACAAGGCCCTCTTGAGTCAATTTCCTAGAGGGACGTATCCTTCTCTAGAACAACTGATCAAGGCGTTCTGAACTAGACTCCCTCTATCGAAAGAGGTTCTCAATCGATACAAAGCAGTGAATCAACCCTCGACTAAAGCAATCGATCCACTACTATCAATCTATGGTGCTCTATTGACCTAATCAGGTATTCCCTCTCATAGGATCAAAGCAGAATCAATAATCTCGACTAAAGCAGAATTGAATCATGAAAACATGCATTGATTGAATATGAACTCAAGATTATCAAGTCAGAGTACTCATACAATCATCCAATCAAACAAACATAGCTAGGGTTCCTCAAAACCTAAGTGAAGGGAAGTTACTCCATAGAGAAGAGAGAGACTGCAGTAAGAATCTTCAGATGATCAGTCTTCAAGTCCGGGCTTGTTCCTCGAGCTTCCAAGGCAAAGAAATCCTCCAATTCCACTCCAAGAATGCCCTCAAATCGCCCTCTCTCTCTTTGGTTCGTCCCTTGGGTGTTTGGGATCCAAAACCCAGCTCTCCTTTGCAAAAACGCACAAAACAGGCTTTTAATAGCCTGTGTTCGCGATCCCTGGTCAAAATACCCGGTAGGGTATTTTAGGTCACGACAGGGGATTTTTTGGTTCACGACCGGGGATTTTTGGGTCACGACCTGGGATTTTGGTTCATGACCGGGGATTTTTGGTTCACGATAGGGGATTTTTGAAAACGCAACGTCTGGAGACAGGGGAAAATCCCCTATCAAGGCCAAAAATCCCCTACCGGGGATTTTAGTGTCACGATAGGGCCCCCTTCTGTTTCTCAGAGAAGCCCGAAACCAATTTTCCCCTATCTTTGATTCTTCGTTTCTCCCTCGTTCGAACTCCAAATCAGGTGCCGTTTGATCCCAGATGCTCGTATTCTTGTACTCTTTCTTCTCATGACAAGATTACATGATTATATGGTCACAAAATGAGGTAGAAATCCCTTCTTCTTCAAGTCATACCCGAGTTTCTTCCCCCGAGTCGCCAATTGATCTCCGATTGACTTGAAACTTGCGCCTACACTTCACTTTATGTGCTAGGACCTGAAATGTGACAAAGGAACACAACCTAGCGTAAAATAGGCCAAAGAAGCAATAATGCAAGCTTAAACGATCAAGAAACAAAGGGAAAACATGTGCAAATATTGAGGTCAACCGACGCACAAGTCATCTCATAGCTTCTTCGGTGAGAACGCTAGTCTCGAGTCGGCATCATGGCAAATAGTGATCAGAGGACAAATGAATCGTGGACGAAGAGACTCTCAAAAACAAAAGATCATGGACTCACATTTTTCAAGGTGCTCTTATTTTCTTTTTGAAGACGGTTGGAACCCCTTTTTTCCCCTTTCTTTTGTTCTCTTTTTTTTCTTTCTTTTTCAAGGGTTCCACCCCGATTTTCAGAAAACGGGGCTCCCACCTAGCAAAGGTTTTGCGGGAACCCAGCTCTTACCGGCCATGCCGGGAGAGAATGTCTCGAGCCTCGTGCGGGGAAAAGGAATGTAAGAGGGCTGGAGGTAGTAGGTGGAAATTGGGAACGAATTCCCGTCTCCCCTTACACACTTTCGCCCTATTCGCACGGGAGACGTTATTTTAAAGCACATTATCGAGCACCTTTTATTTCAAAACATGATACAAGAGTCCATGATAGGTAGAGAGTCCACAACACCACACAATTCAAGGGTCCTAAGATCACTAATTCACTCAATCAACCAACACAATATGAAGAAGAAACGAGACTTCTTAAATGCATCAACATCCTCCATAGTGCTACACTACCTCCCTAGGTTGATAAAGACTGTCAATTCAAAGCATACTGAGCAGGCAATTCCAAGGAACACGTACTTGGAGCTCTCAAATCGAAATTTGGACAGTGGACTAGGCTCCAAGCACACAAACAGTCAAACATTCACACGAATACATAATCGAACATCCCCCCACACTTAAGCACGACATTGTCCTCAATGGAGGAAAGATAAGGAGGGTAGAACGAAGTTACTAGATCCAGGGTGAATGATTGTGGACGGGGCAGGCGGCGTATTCCAGGAGGAGAGAATGGTCAGAGCAAAAACACCACACAAAATCTCACAAAGGTTGAATTATTGACTCTAATATCAAATAACAAAACAGACTCAACCGAGGAGAAAAAGAGAAAGAAATGCAAACCGACTGGTTGGGTTGCCTCCCAACAAGCGCTTCTTTCACGTCGTGAGCCGGACGATGGCTCCTAAGTTTCGGTCCACCCCAAAACCTCTTTGAAGTTGAGGTTCTCGTCGATGAGGTGGAATCTCAAGTCACGAGCATGTGGTATGACAGTAGATGGAAGCTCGTGCACTTGATGCAGATGAAGTCTCCACCCTCGAGACCTCTTATTCTCTTCTCTCGTCTCATTTCCCCAAACCAGATATGACAGCACCGATTGACCACCATCGCGTCCACCAAGAGGGACCGTTGTCGACGTGACCTTGGTATGGCAAAGAGACACTGCAAATGGATCCTTGCTAAGTAGTTCCTCGAAGTTTGGTGGAGATATCAAATGTAACTCATGGCTGGTGCAAGCCTCTTCCACCTCAACTTCGTCCTCAGCCTGGATGCCAATTGCTTCTTCAACCTCCCTTCCTTGTTCGTGTGGTATCACCCCTGGGAAATGATCAAGAACTCCTCCTGCTTCACTTTCGTCATCCTCCACAACTTCTTTCTGCACCCTTTCTTGCTCTTCTTCTTCTAGCACGGATTGGAGAGCAAGTTTCCAAGCAATTTCTTTCATGAGATCTTCTTGCATCTCCTCACTCATGCCCGCCTCTTCAAAGCTCAGTTTGGGGTGTGGGAAGGCGTGGTCGGCTACGACAGGACATTCCTGATCATGACCATCACGGGAGCTCTCCGTGACAACTTCTGTGTGTTCCACAATGTCCTTGTAGCCTTCTTCTTCCTCCTCCCCTTCTAGTATGGTAGCAGAAGGGTGATCTGGAGCAGGTTGTGCCCAAGATCGCTCAAGATCATCGATGCTCTTCTTAAGGCTCAGGAGGATCTCCTCTGTTTCACGATAGGCCTGGACACAATGATCCATCCTGGAGCATGTTCTATCACAGTCTCGAGCAAACTGCTCCATGAGAAGTCTCAATTCATAGTGTGGATCTGGCTGTGGAGTGTAGCATGGCTCTGCAGAATGGCCCGTGAAGGCCGCCATGGGTAACTCCAGCTCCAATGGCCCCTCTGGTTGTGGGAAAAATTCTTCTTGGTAATGAGGTTGTTCTTGATATGCCCAGGGGTCCGGTTGTTCTCCGTAGTAAGGGGGTTGGTACTGGAACCCGAATCCATAGTCTTCTCCTCCTTGATTGCTCCAGGGAGTCTCGGGGTAATACCACTCGGGTGGTGGTGGATACCCCCAATTGTTGGAGAAGCCATGAGGATCCATGATTTAGATCTGCACCAACAAAAACAAAAACACCCAAGTGAAAAGCAAGGGTGGAAAAGAAAAGAAAAGAAAAACGCTAAAGTAACAAACTTCTGCCTTTCCTAATACTCTAGAAAGTCCCCGGCAACGGCGCCAAAAACTTGACTCGCTACTACACAACACCTAACAATGGCCAAGTGTAACCAATGGAAGGGATGCAGTATAGTGGCTCAAGTGATAAATATCGAATCCACGGGTCTCTAGAGTTATTATTACTCAGCTTCAGTTTATTATTTAGCAAACCAGATTAAGATGAAAGAACTAAAACTAATCTAGCAAACTACAGTTAAAGTTAATCTAATTACAGGTTGGGAACTCACTTAGGTATGATTCCCCCTAGCCACTAGCCAGACTAACGATTGATGATTTCTAACTTGTTTCACTTTCATTCACAATGCGGAGAATCCTTGACTAGACCTTGAGTCTTGACTAAAGGAACAAGGCCCTCTTGAGTCAATTGCCTAGAGGGACGTATCCTTCTCTAGAACAACTGATCAAGGCGTTCTGAACTAGACTCCCTCTATCGAAAGAGGTTCTCAATCGATACAAAGCAGTGAATCAACCCTCGACTAAAGCAATCGATCCACTACTATCAATCTATGGTGCTCTATTGACCTAATCAGGTATTCCCTCTCATAGGATCAAAGCAGAATCAATAATCTCGACTAAAGCAGAATTGAATCATGAAAACATGCATAGATTGAATATGAACTCAAGATTATCAAGTCAGAGTACTCATACAATCATCCAATCAAACAAACATAGCTAGGGTTCCTCAAAACCTAAGTGAAGGGAAGTTACTCCATAGAGAAGAGAGAGACTGCAGTAAGAATCTTCAGATGATCAGTCTTCAAGTCCGGGCTTGTTCCTCGAGCTTCCAAGGCAAAGAAATCCTCCAATTCCAATCCAAGAATGCCCTCAAATCGCCCTCTCTCTCTTTGGTTCGTCCCTTGGGTGTTTGGGATCCAAAACCCAGCTCTCCTTTGCAAAAACGCACAAAACAGGCTTTTAATAGCCTGTGTTCGCGATCCCCGGTCAAAATACCCGGTAGGGTATTTTAGGTCACGACAGGGGATTTTTTGGTTCACGACCGGGGATTTTTGGGTCACGACCTGTGATTTTGGTTCATGACCGGGGATTTTTGGTTCACGATAGGGGATTTTTGAAAACGCAACGTCTGGAGACAGGGGAAAATCCCCTATCAAGGCCAAAAATCCCCTACCGGGGATTTTAGTGTCACGATAGGGCCCCCTTCTGTTTCTCAGAGAAGCCCGAAACCAATTTTCCCCTATCTTTGATTCTTCGTTTCTCCCTCGTTCGAACTCCAAATCAGGTGCCGTTTGATCCCAGATGCTCGTATTCTCGTACTCTTTCTTCTCATGACAAGATTACATGATTATATGGTCACAAACTGAGGTAGAAATCCCTTCTTCTTCAAGTCATACCCGAGTTTCTTCCCCCGAGTCGCCAATTGATCTCCGATTGACTTGAAACTTGCGCCTACACTTCACTTTATGTGCTAGGACCTGAAATGTGATAAAGGAACACAACCTAGCGTAAAATAGGCCAAAGAAGCAATAATGCAAGCTTAAACGATCAAGAAACAAAGGGAAAACATGTGCAAATATTGAGGTCAACCGACGCACAAGTCATCTCATAGCTTCTTCGGTGAGAACGCTAGTCTCGAGTCGGCATCATGGCAAATAGTGATCAGAGGACAAATGAATCGTGGACGAAGAGACTCTCAAAAACAAAAGATCATGGACTCACATTTTTCAAGGTGCTCTTATTTTCTTTTTGAAGACGGTTGGAACCCCTTTTTTCCCCTTTCTTTTGTTCTCTTTTTTTTCTTTCTTTTTCAAGGGTTCCAACCCGATTTTCAGAAAACGGGGCTCCCACCTAGCAAAGGTTTTGCGGGAACCCAGCTCTTACCGGCCATGCCGGGAGAGAATGTCTCGAGCCTCGTGCGGGGAAAAGGAATGTAAGAGGGCTGGAGGTAGTAGGTGGAAATTGGGAACGAATTCCCGTCTCCCCTTACACACTTTCGCCCTATTCGCACGGGAGACGTTATTTTAAAGCACATTATCGAGCACCTTTTATTTCAAAACATGATACAAGAGTCCATGATAGGTAGAGAGTCCACAACACCACACAATTCAAGGGTCCTAAGATCACTAATTCACTCAATCAACCAACACAATATGAAGAAGAAACGAGACTTCTTAAATGCATCAACATCCTCCATAGTGCTACACTACCTCCCTAGGTTGATAAAGACTGTCAATTCAAAGCATACTGAGCAGGCAATTCCAAGGAACACGTACTTGGAGCTCTCAAATCGAAATTTGGACAGTGGACTAGGCTCCAAGCACACAAACAGTCAAACATTCACACGAATACATAATCGAACATCCCCCACACTTAAGCACGACATTGTCCTCAATGGAGGAAAGATAAGGAGGGTAGAACGAAGTTACTAGATCCAGGGTGAATGATTGTGGACGGGGCAGGCGGCGTATTCCAGGAGGAGAGAATGGTCAGACCAAAAACACCACACAAAATCTCACAAAGGTTGAATTATTGACTCTAATATCAAATAACAAAACAGACTCAACCGAGGAGAAAAAGAGAAAGAAATGCAAACCGACTGGTTGGGTTGCCTCCCAACAAGCGCTTCTTTCACGTCGTGAGCCGGACGATGGCTCCTAAGTTTCGGTCCACCCCAAAACCTCTTTGAAGTTGAGGTTCTCGTCGATGAGGTGGAATCTCAAGTCACGAGCATGTGGTATGACAATAGATGGAAGCTCGTGCACTTGATGCAGATGAAGTCTCCACCCTCGAGACCTCTTATTCTCTTCTCTCGTCTCATTTCCCGTAACCAGATATGACAGCACCGATTGACCACCATCGCGTCCACCAAGAGGGACCGATGTCGACGTGACCTTGGTATGGCAAAGAGACACTGCAAATGGATCCTTGCTAAGTAGTTCCTCGAAGTTTGGTGGAGATATCAAATGTAACTCATGGCTGGTGCAAGCCTCTTCCACCTCAACTTCGTCCTCAGCCTGGACGCCAATTGCTTCTTCAACCTCCCTTCCTTGTTCGTGTGGTATCACCCCTGGGAAATGATCAAGAACTCCTCCTGCTTCACTTTCGTCATCCTCCACAACTTCTTTCTGCACCCTTTCTTGCTCTTCTTCTTCTAGCACGGATTGGAGAGCAAGTTTCCAAGCAATTTCTTTCATGAGATCTTCTTGCATCTCCTCACTCATGCCCGCCTCTTCAAAGCTCAGTTTGGGGTGTGGGAAGGCGTGGTCGGCTACGACAGGACATTCCTGATCATGACCATCACGGGAGCTCTCCGTGACAACTTCTGTGTGTTCCACAATGTCCTTGTAGCCTTCTTCTTCCTCCTCCCCTTCTAGTATGGTAGCAGAAGGGTGATCTGGAGCAGGTTGTGCCCAAGATCGCTCAAGATCATCGATGCTCTTCTTAAGGCTCAGGAGGATCTCCTCTGTTTCACGATAGGCCTGGACACAATGATCCATCCTGGAGCATGTTCTATCACAGTCTCGAGCAAACTGCTCCATGAGAAGTCTCAATTCATAGTGTGGATCTGGCTGTGGAGTGTAGCATGGCTCTGCAGAATGGCCCGTGAAGGCCGCCATGGGTAACTCCAGCTCCAATGGCCCCTCTGGTTGTGGGAAAAATTCTTCTTGGTAATGAGGTTGTTCTTGATATGCCCAGGGGTCCGGTTGTTCTCCGTAGTAAGGGGGTTGGTACTGGAACCCGAATCCATAGTCTTCTCCTCCTTGATTGCTCCAGGGAGTCTCGGGGTAATACCACTCGGGTGGTGGTGGATACCCCCAATTGTTGGAGAAGCCATGAGGATCCATGATTTAGATCTGCACCAACAAAAACAAAAACACCCAAGTGAAAAGCAAGGGTGGAAAAGAAAAGAAAAGAAAAACGCTAAAGTAACAAACTTCTGCCTTTCCTAATACTCTAGAAAGTCCCCGGCAACGGCGCCAAAAACTTGACTCGCTACTACACAACACCTAACAATGGCCAAGTGTAACCAATGGAAGGGATGCAGTATAGTGGCTCAAGTGATAAATATCGAATCCACGGGTCTCTAGAGTTATTATTACTCAGCTTCAGTTTATTATTTAGCAAACCAGATTAAGATGAAAGAACTAAAACTAATCTAGCAAACTACAGTTAAAGTTAATCTAATTACAGGTTGGGAACTCACTTAGGTATGATTCCCCCTAGCCACTAGCCAGACTAACGATTGATGATTTCTAACTTGTTTCACTTTCATTCACAATGCGGAGAATCCTTGACTAGACCTTGAGTCTTGACTAAAGGAACAAGGCCCTCTTGAGTCAATTGCCTAGAGGGACGTATCCTTCTCTAGAACAACTGATCAAGGCGTTCTGAACTAGACTCCCTCTATCGAAAGAGGTTCTCAATCGATACAAAGCAGTGAATCAACCCTCGACTAAAGCAATCGATCCACTACTATCAATCTATGGTGCTCTATTGACCTAATCAGGTATTCCCTCTCATAGGATCAAAGCAGAATCAATAATCTCGACTAAAGCAGAATTGAATCATGAAAACATGCATAGATTGAATATGAACTCAAGATTATCAAGTCAGAGTACTCATACAATCATCCAATCAAACAAACATAGCTAGGGTTCCTCAAAACCTAAGTGAAGGGAAGTTACTCCATAGAGAAGAGAGAGACTGCAGTAAGAATCTTCAGATGATCAGTCTTCAAGTCCGGGCTTGTTCCTCGAGCTTCCAAGGCAAAGAAATCCTCCAATTCCACTCCAAGAATGCCCTCAAATCGCCCTCTCTCTCTTTGGTTCGTCCCTTGGGTGTTTGGGATCCAAAACCCAGCTCTCCCTTGCAAAAACGCACAAAACAGGCTTTTAACAGCCTGTGTTCGCGATCCCCGGTCAAAATACCCGGTAGGGTATTTTAGGTCACGACAGGGGATTTTTTGGTTCACGACCGGGGATTTTTGGGTCACGACAGGGGATTTTGGTTCATGACCGGGGATTTTTGGTTCACGATAGGGGATTTTAGAAAACGCAACGTCTGGAGACAAGGGAAAATCCCCTATCAAGGCCAAAAATCCCCTACCGGGGATTTTAGTGTCACGATAGGGCCCCCTTCTGTTTCTCAGAGAAGCCCGAAACCAATTTTCCCCTATCTTTGATTCTTCGTTTCTCCCTCGTTCGAACTCCAAATCAGGTGCCGTTTGATCCCAGATGCTCGTATTCTCGTCCTCTTTCTTCTCATGACAAGATTACGTGATTATATGGTCACAAACTGAGGTAGAAATCCCTTCTTCTTCAAGTCATACCCGAGTTTCTTCCCCCGAGTCGCCAATTGATCTCCGATTGACTTGAAACTTGCGCCTACGCTTCACTTTATGTGCTAGGACCTGAAATGTGACAAAGGAACACAACCTAGCGTAAAATAGGCCAAAGAAGCAATAATGCAAGCTTAAACGATCAAGAAACAAAGGGAAAACATGTGCAAATATCGAGTCATCACTTTTCTTACGAACTCGTTGAGCATTCCTCTGTCCACCAAGCCCTGCAGCTTTGTCTTCAGTTGATAGCAATCAGTGGTATGGTGTCCTCTCTCCTGATGGAAATCGCAGTACCGGTCCATATTCCGCTCATAGGGATGGCAATGGGTCGAGTTGGGTCGGGTTTTGCCAAACCCAAACCCAAACCCAAAACTATGGGTTTATCCGTGAAAAAAACTCGGGGTAAAACCCACTAAGTTTGAAAAACTCAAACCCAACCCAACCCAATGGGTATCCGTGGGTTCATGGGTACCCACGGGTTTTCGTTGTAAAAAATTTACAATAACAAGTTCCTATCAAAATTAAAGTCAAATATCAATCTCTCAATACAAATTATCCATATATAAAACACCATTCTAGAAAATTCAAGCAAATCACAAATTTACTATACAAATTGTTCAACACCAATCTTGAAAACTCAAGAAAATTGAAGCAAATAACAAATTATCCATATATAACATGATTAATTGAAAGCTTCTTCCTTTCAATTAAGTTTCTTTACTCTCCACTTGATAACATCAACTTCATTCTACACAATTAGAAAGAAAAAATTAGACATGTCGCCACAATCATAAATAAGATCAGTTGTTTAGAATATTAAATATACCGAGAAAATTAATTATATGAGTGTGAGAGGGTACCCATGCATGTGTCGGGTTTACCTAAACCCAAACCCCATCCAACCCGGTGAATAGTGAACAGGTTTAAACCCAAATCCGGGACAAAACCTGTCAACACGGATTTTACCCGCGTTGACCGGGTTAGGTCGGGTGGGTACACGTGGGTTCGGGTTTTGTTGCCATCCCTATCCGCTCATTGGGTTGCCCTCTCATTGGACCTAGCCACCGAACATGATATCCCTTCTCCTTGACGTACTGGAGCACATTCTTCAGCGTATCGTTAAATTCTGCAAATGAGCCCACCCCTCGTGGCTGGGGGTGCCTCATGTCCACCCTTCTTTCCAGACGCATAACCTGCAGGAGTATGCGCCGGCCCCGGGGGAGGTATCTGTCTCCATGAATTCTCACCCTCCATCTTTGCAACTCTCGGTCGTAATCCGGTATCTGGCGCGCCAATTGTTTGAGCCGAGATACTTTGGAGCCCAATTCCCCACCTGCTCTCTCCTCGTGCGATGAGTCCTAGGCACCTGACCTGCACACATGCACACAGAGGGGGGCGTTTGGGTGCGTTAATCCTCCGACGATCAAGCTAGTTTAGATTTTAGAGAGAGAAGTACCAAGCTCTAGTGTTTAGTAAGAGAATCAAACTTGCATAAATGCTAGCTACCGACACTATTTATACTAACCCAATCCTGAACCAGCCTTCTTCAACCCAGTTCCACGACAACATTGCATTTAATACTCCGTACTTCTGTCAGGCTGGGCGCCCCGACCAACCTGTCAGGCCTCTAACAGGTTCAAGGCGCCCATACCGTACTCTCTTGGAGTCTTCCGAACCTTGTCTCCTAGCTTCCGATATTACACCTGTGCTTGGCCTCGCGAACCAATCCGTGAACTGGGCCCATGAAGTACCCTCTTCTTTCTTATTGGACCGCCTTGGACCTTCCCTTGGACCTATCTTCATAATTCCCCCAACAGTTATATTTAGAGACAATTATTTTTGCCTCAAAGATTACTTGTAGAGGCAAATAATTTTGTTTGTAATGAGATCTTTTGCCATCTTTATAGAAAGATTTGTTGAAATCCAATTTGATTGATACAATCTAATCCACAAACCACTACATAGAAAAAATAAATCAAATACAACCCGTTTACATTCACAAATGGGTTTTACAATTAGGCAGAAATACAAGTATAGTTACTTCACTCCAATAGATACCGCTTTCCCTTCCATCACAAATAAAACACCTCAATCAAACACAAGCAACAACCTAAAGCTCTTGCCTACATCAGACTACAAAATGAACTCAATCACTTAGGACAATCATCTCTCTTATTGTTCCTTGTTTGATTCTCGTAATATGGTGACACATGTTGATGATGATGCCCTTCATAAACCCTGTAATAGCTATGCTTACAAAAACGAAAAAAGACACCAACTTTGACATCAAGATCAAGCAATAATAAACAAGCTGTCAGGAACTGGTAGGAAAGAATCAGATTGAAGGCGTGATTAATCACTCTCATTAGAGTGTTATTTGCCCCCTGATAGACCGTTATTTACACATGTTTTTACCCCTGTTCTTTCACCGTTTGAGATGTGATTTCTCGTGTTTTAGGCCGATTTCACGCTAGGTTGTGCTTGTTTGTGATATTTCAGGTCCTAGTACGTGAATGGCGGCTCGGGAGCGAGTTTGGGGTTGATTGGACGAAGATCGGGCGCGAGGCAAGTCACAAAGGAGGCCACACGGGCACACCGACAAATCACACGGCCGTGCAACTCATATTTCTGGCCGTGTGAGATTGTGCGAGAGCAAACACGGCCTGCCCTGACAACTCACACGGCCGTGTGAAGAAGTGGTCTGGCCGTGTGACTTTTGCCGAGAGCAGACACGGGCAGATGGAAATCAAACACGGCCGTGCCACTCTGGCCGTGTGAGAAGCCTGAGTATCGAACTAAGTGGAACGAAGCGTTTTGACTCACACGGGCAACTGGGTATGCCACACGGCCGTGTGGCCCTGCCCGTCTGAGTCGGGATTTCCTGGTTTTAACCCAATTCCGGGCTGCAAGAGAAAAAATCGGACTTTTTGAGCAAAAATAGAGTTTTAGCGAGAGAAAGGACGTAGAACACATCCTAGAAGCCATCTTGGAGCTGGGTTTCATCAAATCAAGCTTGGAGATCGTCATAGGAGTGGAAATCATCATCCCAGAGCAGATTTTCCTCATCTTTATGAGTATGACTACTTTGTATCTTGTTTTCCTCTCTCTCTATGGAGTAGAACCCCTCTCTCACTTGGGGATGAAGAACCCTAGTTCTATTTGTTAGGGATTGATTGTAATGACTTGGGATGATATTACTGTTTGATTTTAATCGAATGATGCATGTTTATTGAGTCAATTGAAGTCTGATCAACTTTTCGTGATTCCTGCTGCAATCTGAGATAGATAGAATCTGATTAGGTTGCTAGAGTCTCATCATTCGGTAGTAGGAGATTGGCTATACGAGAGTTAGCCAGTTTACTGCTTTGTACTGGAATCCAATTCCAGTAGTGGAGTTCTGTTCTTACTGCTTCAGCTTTCTATCCCGGTGAAGACTAGTCGTCTGCCGGGTAGTTAGACTGAGAGGGCTTGGTCAGCTTAAGAGATTCCAAGCTACTGTCGGATCTTCCGCAGTCTAATCAACAGTAAATCAACCCAGGGAAATTGCAATTGAACCTAATTAAGGAGCTAGGGGGACTCATTCCCGAGTGACTCTTTCCTGCTTGAGAAAATCGAATAATTTCCTGCTTTCTTTCTGCTTTTGCTTTTAAACAACAATCACTTACTTTAGTTGGCTAGATAACAGAGAATCACTGAGTAAGCAGTAGATCTAGACCCCGGGTTGATACTCTAACTTGCCTGTTACTGCATTCCCGGTCTGCGATTATACTTGGTCGCAGATTGGTGTTGTGTTTTGGCGTGTCAAGTTTTTGGCGCCGTTGCCGGGGAACCTCTAGGTTATTGGGGAAACGTGAGAATTTGTTACTCTAGCTTTTTATTTACTGCATTTTATCTCTTCCACCTGTGTGCCTTCACGGGTTGCTTCTGCTGATTGTGTGCAGGTAGTGCATGACCCGTAGCCAGTCGGGAGATCTACTACCACTAGACCAGGAGCTTGAACGAACCTGCAGAAACTTCAAGCGGGCTCTAAAGGCGCGACTGGCTGCGGAAGAGGCGCTATCACAGCTGCAGTTAGAAGAAGAGGAAGAAGAGATGGCTGATCCACAGGGCCATGCTGTGATCGATCCCGAGGAGCAGACCATGGGACATTACTGGACCGCTAGGGATGCAGACATAAGGTCACCTATTCAACACCCTCATGTCCCAGCCAATAATTTTGAGGTGAGCACCTCAGTAATCACCATGCTGCGCGGTTCGGTGATGTTCCGTGGCAAAGAGGGGGAGTGCCCCCGATCACATCTCAGGCGATTCCACGAGCTCATTGATGGAATCAAGATCAATGGGGTACCCGCAGATGCCATCCAGCTGAGGTACTTCCCATTCACCCTGGAGGGGCAGGCCAAGGTGTGGCTAGACACTCGACCTCCAGGCTCCATCACCACGTTCGCCAACCTGGCGGACAAGTTCCTCACCCGCTACCATCCTCCATCCAAGACAGCTGACTTGCAGAAGCAGATCACCCACTTCACCCAGGACGAAGATGAGACCATCAGGGATGCTTGGGAGAGATACACCAGTCTTTTCCTCAGGTGTCCCAATCATGGTTTCAATGATGCGTTCAAGGTGGGCACCTTTTATCACGCCCTTTTCCCGGAGGACAAGCAGCTGATTGATTCGGTTTGTGGCGGGAACATGCTGACCAAAACACCGCCACAGCTGAATCAACTCTTTGAGGAGATGGCGGAGAACAGGTACGATTGGGGCACTGCCAGGAGATCGAGACGAGCACCAGGCCGGGGTGTGCATGCTGTGGGCACCCAGTCATCTGATCTGGTGCAGGTGGTATCGAAGCTGGTTTCAGCTATCGATCGTTCTGGTTTGATTGCAGGTACAGGATAGCCGCAGGCGATGCACTTCCAGTGGTGTGAGAGCTCTCATCACACCGTAGAGGACTGCCAGGCGATGATGGAATCGTCTACTCCCCAGGAGCAGGTGGACTTTATCAGTAATGCCAGGCGCTTCGACCCCTACAGCAACACTTATAACGAGGGGTGGCGCCAGCATCCTAACTTTTCCTGGGCTGGGGCAAATCCCAAAACACCAGCTCCCCAGGGACCACCTGGCTTCCAGAGGCCTCCGTACTAGCCCAGACAGGGGCAATTTCAGCAGCCATAGCAGCCACTCTACCAGCCCAGACAGGGGCCAGTTCCACCACAGTCACAGGTGCGACCATTTTAGCAGACAGGAGCAGCACATGCAGCTCTAGTACAGAGTGACCCGATGGAGGAATTGAGAGATTTGGTGGGTTCTCTGGCCACCTCCAGTGTGAACAAGTTCAATAACATCGAGCAATTCATGGAGAAAGCTTCAGGCAAGTTCTTGGAGCTAGAAGCTGGTCAGAGAAATATACAGGCTGTGCTGCGGGATATACAGACCCAGCTTGGGAGTGTTGCCCAGGCTGTAGCTCAGAGGACTCCTGGTACCTTGCCTGGTCAGACCATTCCTCACCCGCAGGATCCGAATGCCAACTGCAGTGCCATCACAACCAGGAGTGGCAAGGTAATTGCCGATCCACCTGTTCGGGCAGAGGAGAGAGACACCCCTGCTTCAGCACTTCCAGCTAATCAGAAAGAAATGGAGAAGGAGGTTGAGGTGCCTGCTTCTAAACCGCAACCAGTGGTGAAGGAGTATGTACCACAGCTTCCCTTTCCTACTCGGTTGCACAAGGACCGACTGGAGACTGAGTTTGCCAAATTCATGGCAATGCTGAAGCAGGTAAACATTAGCATGCCCTTCGTGGAGGCATTATCGAAGATGCCCAAGTATGCCAAGTTCATGAAGGACCTCCTCACCAACAAGAGGAAGCTTGGGGAGCTGTCAACGGTGATGCTCAACGAGGAGTGTTCTGCCATCCTGCAGAACAAACTACCAGAGAAGCGAAAAGACCCAGGGAGTTTCACTATCCCTTGCATGATTGGTAGTTTGCATGTAGGGAAGTCCTTGGCGGATTTAGGCGCTAGCATAAATGTCATGCCTTATAAACTGTTTAAAAAGCTAGGCCTAGGTGAACCTAGTGATACTAGGATGAGCATCCAGCTTGCTGATAGATCCATTGTGCATCCTAGGGGTATAGCAGAGGACTTGATAGTCGCAGTAGGGCCATTTTCATATCCTGTTGATTTTGTGATTTTGGACATAAATGAGGATGTTGATGTGCCATTGATACTGGGTAGACCTTTTCTCGCCACCGCCAAGGCGCTTATTGATGTTAATGATGGAAAACTGATTTTGAGAGCTGGGGGTGAACAAATCACCTTCTCTGTTTCTGATAATATGAAACACCCCCAGCTCCATGATGATCTAGATTACTGTGATGTTGTTGCTGATTTTGAGACCGCACTCGCCATCACGAGTGCGGGTACTGATGATTTCCTTGAGCGTTGTCTTTTGCTAGGGAAACAGGCATCACAGGATGTGCAGCTGGAGGAGCAGCTGGCAGAGATGGACGAGGCCATGATCGAGGGGCGAGAGATACCATTCAAGCCGATCCCCATCTCGCCCCAGTTCGCTACATCATTGGAGGAGCCACCATAGTTGGAGCTTAAGCCCCTCCCATCTCACCTGGAGTATGCATTTCTCCAGGAGGGGAATAAGCTCCCGGTCATTATTAGCTCGGATCTGACACCCGAGCAGAAGAGCAGGCTGGTGGCTTTGCTGCAGAAGTATGCCCGGGCCATGGCATGGAAGATCACAGACATCAGAGGCATTAGCACATCCTTCTGCTCCCACAGAATTATGATGGAGGATGAGGTTAAGCCAGTCAGGCAGCCGCAGAGGAGATTGTCTCCTAACTTGGAGGCAGTGGTCCGGGCAG